GCCTTTGTCGCCCGCTTTGATAACTCAGCCGGGGTAACAATTTGCCATGTAAACGTATCAAGATGGGGAAACCCGCCTAGCCGGGGTCGTTTTATGACAAAAGCTCAAAAGCGAAACATGTATGTTTAAAATTTTGTACATTTCCCCGCCGTCTCATGGCAGAAATCACCAGAAACCGCAACGGACACACAAGGAGTGTAAAATGTTCACATTTCGGAATATTTAGCGTTGTAAATCGACCATATTTGGTTTCCCAAACTATTCCGTATAAAGTATTAAGTCAACGGTTCCTCACAAAATCAAACACCGCGTAACACAACGCGTGACGCTTTCATGAATAAATACATGTGTGTCCGAGAATTAATCTTTCGCCTTTTTCGAGATTAGAGCTTGGGACGCCTCTGCTCAAAGTCCTTAATTGCAAGCACAACAACAACCTCAAGAAACCTCACTCCAGCACCCCGGGGTTGTAAGATTGATGTAAATACGTTTTATTTTTCGGCCACGGCTAGGCGAGTTACCTCACCTACCTGGGGTCGCCCGCCTCCATGTAAACAGCCCCTAACTTGTAGCAAGATAGAATTCCGCGAGCTAAATTAATGCAGTCGCTGCGCGCTGGACAAAATCTTTGAAATTTACACTTTCGATCGCTGTCCGCTGGGGTGGTCTGGCCAAAAATCATTTTTGGCTTGTGGCGACGCAAAAAAAGAGACTTGGAGAACAACTAAACTATTTTTGAAACATGTGTCCTAAACCCTTTTCATGGGCAAAAAATTAAAGGAAAACTTTTTTTTTCTGACGGGAGTCGAGAGGATCGCTCTTAGCGAGAGCGGCACTTGATAACGATGGTCTACAACGCTCTCAAGCCTAAAAATAGAACCGATCTCTGATGAGGAATACACACCGGACTGGGGGAAACTAGGGCAACGGAAGACGAAAACTTGAAAAAAAAAAAAAAAAAAACGAGGACTGGGGATGATTTTTGCCATCTTCTTTTTACAACATTTGTGGTATAAAATAAATAAAACAAGCGAAAAAAGAGAGAAAAATATTCTCCCGCAAAAACAGGACTTAGCGAAGAAAGAAACATTGCTCATGGAGTTATTTTGATATCAAGTACTAATTTAATACATATGTTTTGCATGCACGTTCGTTTCGCTTTCGCCTATATTTAACTGACTCACTTTGCCGAGCTGAGACGTCGGATATTAGACTCCGTTCTTACCTATTAAGTGCAGAAATCGTGAGCCGCTGTACTATGTATGATTAACCTGAGCTTTTCCGGTTTCATGTCGTTTTCCTTCGCCAAGTTTAAGTGCAGGTGATCACTGCCTTAAACGTCCACGCAATTTGTTTTAAAATTATGATTCTTGGGAAACCACTGTAAATTATTCCGCCAGAAGAAGTAAGGTGAGAAACAGAATATAGAATACCACATTTGTTTCCATCACTCTGATGCGTCTCACCCAGATGATGATGGTAGCTGCTTGATTCAGTTGGCTTCGGAAGGAAAGTGCCGCACGCATTTTTAGAGTGAAGGTGAGTTTAACGTAGTTATTGGCTGAATCGAAAATTTATTTTATTAGAACTAATATATTCAATTTAGCAGTTATCGGAAACAAATACAGAATAAGATTTAGCATTTACCAAACGTAGAAAACTAAAGGTCGCTCTTCGATCGTTCATCTTCAGAAAACATCTGTTTAAACTTCCCCTGAAAAGAAAGGATCCATTTTCAGGCTTTGGTGTCAAAATTAAAAAGGTTTTCGGTTTCTCAAAAACCATCATGCGTGTCGGTGAGTAAACAAAAACACTAACTTGGTAGTAAATTGATAACGCTATCAAATATAGCTTGATAACGCAAGGCAAACCACCGAAGTTACTTGTAATTTTAATAGGTTGTTTTTAGTCGTTTTTTCGCTTAGACCAAGGGATGACACTCAAAATGACAACCTTAAAAAAATGAATGACAGATGTTAAACTATCTTGATCTACTTTTTGTTAATAATCACCTCATTGTTTGTAAATCAACTTAGCTAAGTAGCTGATGGGAGACGGTATCTTCAAACAGAGTAAGTGGTAACTCTGCCTCAAATAACAGGATCTGCGAATAGCATTTTTTCTCCAATATAACACTTTTAATGGAGCGATTCGAGTTAAGACTAGCTAAGAGCAAATGTTCTTACAAACTTAAATAAAGCAACGAAAGCAAGGAACTTTCACTAAAAAGAATATGTTCTGAATAGTTTATGGTTTTATATTTTTACAAAATTTGTTCTTGATTTCCTTTCCATTTTATAAATAATGACGCACTTTAGCGAACCGAGTCGTATACCGTTATATTGCAAGTCGGCAAATGGACAATGATTGTGTGTAAGTCTGTCGAGGAAAAAAAAATTTCGTAAACAAAATTCGGAGAATAAAGCAAGAAATAAATTATTTCTTTTTTGTCTTGTAAGAAATTTTCACCCTAAGTTTCTCCGCGTATTTTCTTTCTTTCCTTTTTTCTTTTTTTTTTATGGTTCGTTAAGGATCAGTTTTTATTTACTGAGTAGATCTCTCTCTACAGGAAGAAGACTTATTTTCTGAAAAGCGACTGAAATCGTAACTGAGAACGCTCCTATGTGTCTTAGGTAACTTCGGAAGGCAAGGAGAAGTGAGCGAGGCTTTATATCAATAAGGAAAGAGACAAAAAAATGGTCAAAATTGGGTGTATCAACACGGGTTTTGTGCTCTTTACAAAAGGCTTTTCATAATTTGCCTTCATCACAAAGGTTTATAACATTTTTTTACTTGGCACAAGTTTGGCTTGCCTTATTAAAATGGAAAAACCACTGTCACTTAACAACATAGTGTCTGAACTTGAAACAAAAGGCCTTTTAAAATGTTGCTTCATCAGGAAAGTTGAGAGCAGGTTTTTTCCTTTGGCTTTTATTTTTTATTCATTTATTTTGGATGAGGGACCAGTTTGGCTAGCCTTATTAAAATGTGTTAACCGGAGACCAAACAAATAAGAGACTCGTTCAGCGATTATTTACTTCATTAATTAAATAACAAAGGAAAACACTTTCCATGGAGCTAAAATTCCTTAAAGTTACAAATTAAAGTTACATTAATTTTCAGCGTCGTTGTATATTAGTAGGATTCTTTCCTCAGGTGTGCGTCTTCATCTAGCAGGATCTGTTTGCAATCGAGTTGTCGAGCCAAGGAGCAGACTCTTCGTTCCCGCTTGTTCGGTTTACAAGCCTATAAATTAAAAGAGAATTTTAATTGCAGCCATATTTACTTGAAATGTGAAGAGCTCCTAAAAATTAGAATAATTTTTGCTTTTAAAATTAAGCTAGTTTTTTTGCTTGTGATTAAAGGGCACCAAGTAATTTTTTGCTATAATTTAGTTCTCTCTTTACCAGTTTTACTTGCTGCTTTTTTTTAGTCCAGATTAAAAAGATAAATTTAAGTTTCTTATGCATTTACCTTCCTAGAGTCCTTGGTTGTGCAGGCCAGTGCTTCGGTTCCTTCGATCAGAAGAAGTGACAAGAGGAAAAGAACACCCAAAGCCAGTTTTGTTTCCATTTCTTCTCTGAGGTATTTTCGGATTCAGTTTGCTCGGTACGGTAGTTTGATGTGGAAGGGTAGTACAGAGGGTTTTTATAGTGGTAAGATCTTGGATCATCTGCACTCTAAGTGACATGCCACGCCCACAATGAAAACACTATATCTTCATGCTGTAAAAAGTTTTTAGCATGCAGCTGAACGGGATCAAATTCGTGGCAGCCTTGATGGTGACATTAAAATATTTATGATTAACCCAAAGAGCAAACCAGAAATGTGATACTTGCGTGGACTCTCCTCTCGCTTCTCCTTTTGTTTGTTTGTTTTCTTTTAGTTCCTTTTTTTTTTTTCATAATTACACGCTTTTACGTCCCTCCTTCACTTTTAGTGTGTCGTTTTTTATTAATTGTTTAATGGAACCTGATATAACACTTCTTCGACATAATGAAAAAAAAATTTAAAAAAAGTTTTTCTTTCATCTGGATCAGAATTTGCATGTTCTTCCAACTGCCTTGTCTTAAAAGATAACAATTGACGACTTACTTTATGAAATTAAACGTTTTGTTTATGTGCGTGCCAAAGTCTCATTGCACTTCCGTTTAGAAAATTATTAACTTAAATCGCTCGTTTCGACCATGCAGAAGGAAATTGGTGAACGAGCGTGATCAGTGCAAGTTTTCACTTACCCGAGCTTTGAACTTGTCCCCTTCGTGGTTCGGACGAAAACAAACTGTGAACGGGAGAAAAGACTCAACTTAAACAAAAGAATGAACTAAAATTTGCTCCTTCTTCCACCTGCTTTGTCTGATCAACATCAAGAAGCAAACTTCTTTAGGTCAATTCAAGTACAATTTGAAACAAACTCCCATGCCGCTCCTGTTTTGTAAACCTTTGAATTGAAAGGTTCGGCCAAGCCATGCAGAAGAAACTTTGGCGAACCAGCATGATCCGCGTGTGAGTTCAAAAATTCAGTCATTGTTATTCTTAAGTCGAGTTCCTAACAACTTCTCCTTAGTGTTTCAAACACGAACGCACAAAAGAAAGAAAAAAATACATTTTCTATCTTTCTCGTGCATTGGCTCACCTCCAGGCCCAGCACAACGCTCAAGTTAGTCATGTCATTTCATTCGAAGTACCCCACTCAGGGAGCTGCATTTGATTCGGTTCTTCAAACACGATTAAAACATGCGATGCAACATAAATGGTGTGGCAGAATCAGTCTCTAACTTTATTATAGAGCAACACATTCATTGTTATTTTTGGGTAACTTATGAGCGACAGTAGGGGGAAACAGGGGGAATGTACATGAGCAAGTTAGTCTCCTTCCAATATTTTCTTTGTTTACGTAGGAAAATAAAAAAAAGAAATTATCGTGGTTCCTACTGTATTTAAATATTTTTTTAGATGTTGTCAATGTCGCCTCAGTTCAATGACATTTTTACAGTATATACCGATGTTTCTATTCTCGTGATGTAGCGTAGACAAAGCGTCAAAGAAAGAAAAGGTGATCACCATCTATTAACATAACTTTAGGGACAAAGAGATAAATTCAAACAGAGTAAGTGGTAACTCTGCCTCAAATAACAACATATGCGAGTAGCATTTTTATCTCCAATATAACAATTTTAATGGAGCTATTCGAATTAGGACTAGCCAAGAACAAAATGTTCTCGTGAACCAACGAGAGTAAGGAACTTTCACTTACAAGAATATGTTCTGAATAGTTCATGGTTTTATATTTTTACTAAATTTGTAATGACGCACTTTGGCAAACCGAGTCGTATACCATTATATTGCAAGTCGGCAAATGGACAATAATTGTCTGTTGAAGAAAAAAAATTCGTAAATAAAATTCGGAGAATAAAGCAAGAAGTAAATTAGTTCCTTTTTGTCTTGTAAGAAATTGTTACCCTAAGTCTTCCGCTTATTTTTTATTATTTTTTTTAAGGTTCACTAAGCATCAGTATTTTTACTGAGTAGATCTGTATCTACAGGAAGACGAGTTATTTTCTAAACTTGAAACAAAAGGCCTTTTATAATTTTCATTCATCTGGAAAGTTGAGAGTAGGTTTTTTCCTTTGGTTTTTATATTTTATTCATTTATTTTGGATAGGGACCGGTTTGGCTAGCCTTATTTAAATGTATGAACCGGAGACCACACAAGTAAGAGACTCGTTCAGCGTTTATTTACTTAATTAATTAAGAAACAAAAGCAAAACACTTTCTTTGGAGCTCAAAATTACTTCATAAAGTCTGGCATTAACATCAAATTTAAGTTACATTCATTTTCAGCGTCGTTGTATATTAGTGGGATCCCTAAAGATGCTCAACTTGCTGGCCCCTCAGGTGTGCGTCTTCATCTAGCAGAATCTGTTTGTCATCGAGCCGTCCAGCAATGGAGCGGACACTTCGTTCCCGCTTTTCGTTCGACTTACGGTTACAACTCTAAAAATATGAGGTTCTTTTACGGACAAAATATCGAACATGGATACATTAATGTTTTGTTCAATTACGTTATTGTTATGCGTTATAATACAAGTCTTAAAATAAAATAAATCAATTTCATCCGGAATACATCGATTTTGGATGTCATACATCGATGTTGTGCAGCATACATCGCTTTCCTGACTCATTCACGCGTGACCTTATATAACTAAAAGATGTTCAATAAAACTAAAAGATGAGGAAGCGGAAATAGAAATGACCGGAAGTCAGATTAAACAAGAAGCCCCGGAAACTAACACTTTCAAAATGGCGGAAATGAAGGCAGACGATCAGTGAAGTTTGAGAAGCAATATGCAAGGTGTACGGATTTGGCTGCCCAACTACAAGGGATTTTTTACGTCTTTGGGTAGGCTACTGGAAAGTGCAGATGGGCAAAGGAACACTGCGTCCTACGACTCGGCTGAAATTTTTAGTCGCCGTTTACGAGAAAACGAAAGAACTCTTGTCACTTTGACTCTAAGAATAGAAGAAGCCTTCCCAAATGAAGTTGAGGTGATCTCTGATCTAAACGAACTTGTTTTTCTTATGAACGAACTTTCAAGGGACTTTGACAGAATTTTCGAGGACTCGGAACGTTCTACGTTTACTGCACCATCGTCCCTAAACGATCGTCTTTCAACTGTGGCTAGGAACGGTTTAGTTGGCAAACCAAGGCTACAGATCTTACAGCAACAGCTGCAAACTCTGCACAATGACGCCGGTTTTCGTTGGGCTGATATCGGAAGAATTCTTGGATGAGAGTATAGCTTATGGCAAAATTGGTTTTGGCAAGATATAGACATGAAAGGATGATCCTTCCTTATCTTACTTTCAGTTAACAGTTGTGTTATTCTTGGGCCCACAAACCATTTTTATTCATAATTTTTCATAGGTCATAAAAAAACACATAGAATCATAATCACCAAGAGACTGAATAGAGGAGGGCGTAACTTGAGGTTTTAAGGAAAAAAATCTTTGTAATTGGTACAATTACCCATGACTTTACATATGTTTATAGGAATGTTTTGCTAGAAATTTCTACTGCTCAAATTAATACAAAATCTCTGTTAATTTCCTAAGCAGTGGCCAAGGAAAATATGCCAGTGGACCCTTCATATAAAACAATAAAATTTTCAAATCCGTTTAGGTTACTCAGGAAATGTTCCACGTTCAAAGTTCCAGTTTCAAGTTACTCAGCATATTAACTGTTTCGTTAACAGCATGATAAACTCAACACTAACAAAAAGAGCTTACAAGAGCTAATTTACAAGGGTATAAACTTCTCTGCAATAGCCATTATGCATGCAATGTAGCCACAGCTTTACCTCATTTGTTATTGTTTTGAGTGATTGCAAATCAAGGCTAGATCTCAGGTTTAAAGTGTTAATACTATGAAGTATCTAGTACATTATGCCACTATAACATAGTGTATTTTTTTTCCCAGCTATTCAAAGTTTTACACCCCTTTGTATTAGTAAGGCTGTTAGATTTGAGATTATAACTGATTATTGTTACTGTTTCCCATTTACATTGTCATTAGTAATTTTATTCTTGGCATACTGACATGTATAGCAGTAACCAATTTATACTAACTGTATTAAAAGTTCATTCCAAGTACATGAAGTTAATACAATAAATCATGAGTAGCAGTTTAAATAAAAAGAAGCAATCTGCAATACCACTTGGTAGGCTATGATTCCAGCATGATCATCAGTTTGGAAGGCTGCATCTCTAGCTTCTTGCAGTGACAATTCTTGGTTATGTGTCAGAGTAGTAATTGTGTCAGGTACCGAAACTGCATGTCAGGTACAGGCCCTTCTTCATCAATCCCATAATGATTGAATAAATTAACAGCCTTGCTGGCAGTCACATCTGTCACAGCCTTATACCCAGAATTTCTGAAATGTAGCATTCCTTGTATCCAGAGCTGATTGGGAGAGAAATTGCATTATGTGCTTACAGGATGATTATTCCACTGACCAATAAATTGGTTAATTGCATTATTAATCAGTGGAATGTAGACTAGATGAATACAAAACAGATGCACCTCATCTGTTGGATCTAAAATTCCACTGTGCTCAAGAAAGAGGAAAATGTTCAAAAAGCGGCTCACAATAACCCAGTTGACATCACACCAGAGATGCTCTATTCTCTAGTTATGAACAGATTTTCCAGTGATGTGGCTGCCTCTATTTAAACCTCTTTCTTGCAGCATGAAGTGAGCAACTTCTATGTTTTCCATTCCAAGATCACTGCAAACTCTTGATGGTAAATTGTAGTGCTCAACAGCTGACTGTACTGCAGTACAGTTAAGGCCCTGTTATTGGTTGATGCCTAAAGGAATACTATCATTCTTGAAAAACCATCTAAACCACCATGAATTATAATTTTGTATGGCTGGATTAGTTTGTGGTTGCCATCAATGTGCCTGTTGGACACCATGAAGACATTTGTTCCACTACACTATCACATATAAGTTACTAATATCATATTTTAACCGGGTTAAAATATGATATGTAAAAAAAGTTAAATCTGCTTATCTGAGTAATAGTGGTAATAATAATAATGACAACAACAACAATAATAATCATAACAACAACAAGAGGCATTTTTGACTACCCATGAGTAACAGGCATGATAGTCAGGAATTTTGAGCATAATATCAGGGGAAGGTGGGGGCTGGGAAACTGGGGTGATTAGTGAGGGGGCTAAATAGAACTGGGGAAGATATCTCAAATCATGAGTTGAATTGGCATTAATGCTCATGCATCAAAATTACAGCCTGACCTCCCTTGTATCACAGATTTAAAGCCAGTGTTGCCCCTGTGTGGAGGGAACTCCCATATAAAAAGGAAAGGAGTGCTTGTCGCAAATTTTGAAAAGAACCCTTAAAAGGTACCAAGATCCTGTTTTATGGGCATAGCTTAATATGCTTTTCACCCCTAAGAGGAAACAATTCTAAAACAACACAGTTAACCCTAGCTGTCATTTTTTTCTGTTCAAGACCCTACCTAAGAGGTAGCGCAAAAGCTCCCGCTGTGGACCTTTTGGAACTGACCACCATAAGAGGTACCAACCCTGCATTTTTAAACCCTAAAAAGTATGACAAGCATCCCTGTCCTCTTTATACAGGAGTCCCCCCAGGGGGGTGTTGCCTCTAGAGAAATAACAAACTGCCTGACTATTTTGAAAAGAGGGGTGGTGGGCTCTAATGGCGTAGGGGGGCCTGTTAAAAAAGGAGACCCCTTTAAACAGAGACTCGTTAGAAAGAAGGTAGTGTTAACTAAATAGCGCTTCAACGAATTCTTTTACTTTACCATAACGCATTGGGGCATGGCACACTGTACACTCTACGAATTATCTGCTGCGCTGCTCTTAAAGTGCGAAGAACCGGATCCACTCTTCGAATAGATTCCTGAATACGATGGCGCTGGAATCGTAAGCCCATTTGCCTCAGGCCCCCTTCAACCAGGCGTTGACCAGCGCTTGGTGTCACTTCAAGAATTTCCCTCACATATTCGTCAAGGTCATCATTGGAGACATCACTGAAATTCTCTCCCACACCAACTGGCAACCCAAATTCATGTCTTCGACGGCGCAAAGTTCTTTCGGAGATTCCAAGAATTCTTCCAATATCAGCCCAACGAAAACCGGCGTCATTGTGCAGAGTTTGCTGCTGTTGCTGTAAGATCTGTAGCCTTGGTTTGCCAACTAAACCGTTCCTAGCCACAGTTGAAAGACGATCGTTTAGGGACGGTGGTGCAGTAAACGTAGAACGTTCCAAGTCCTCGAAAATTCTGTCAGAGTCCCTTGAAAGCTCGTTCATAAGAAAAACAAGTTCGTTTAGATCAGAGATCACCTCAACTTCATTTGGGAAGGCTTCTTCTATTCTTAGAGTCAAAGTGACAAGAGTTCTTTCGTTTTCTCGTAAACGGCGACTAAAACATTCAGCCGAGTTGTAGGACGCAGTGTTCCTTTGTCCATCTGCACTTTCCAGTAGCCTATGCAAAGACGTAAAAAATCCTTCGATGTTGGGCAGCCAAATCCGTACACCTGGCATAGTGCTTCTCAAACTTCAGTGATCGTCTGCCTCCATTTCCGCCATTTTGAAAGTTAGTTTCCGGGACTTCTTGTTTAATTTGACTTCCGGTCATTTCTATTTCCGCTTCCTCATCTTTTAGTTTTATTGAACATCTTTTAGTTATATAAGGTCACGCGTGAATGAGTCAGGAAAGCGATGTACGCTGCACAACATCGATGTATGACATCCAAAATCGATGTATTCCGGATGAAATTGATTTATTTTATTTTAAGACTTGTATTATAACGCATAACAATAACGTAATTGAACAAAACATTAATGTATCCATGTTCGATAATTTGTCCGTAAAAGAACCTCATAGGTTTCCTTCTCACCATTGCAGTTTTCTGAACAACAACAACATAAAGAACTTGTCCACTGATCAACTACCTCCAAAAAATTGGTGGGGAAATAAATTAAAAAACCTGTAAGTTTTGTGGCTTAGGAATCTTTCTCCGCTTGAGTTAGTTACCATATCTGAGGTCTAAGAAAATTCTAGAAACAGACCCTCCCTTATGTCGGGGACTAAAAATAAAACCAGTAATTCACAATCTTGATAGGAAATTTAGAAAAATAAACTGAATATCTTCTTTGACCTTAGTGTGTGAGTTTGAACGAGTTTATAGTGTTATTTCTTATAAGACTAAAATCATTTTGATTCGCCGGAGTGTCTTTTTTCCTTTTTAACCAAAAAGTTGCTGGAACGAAGGATTCTTTTATAATCGCGATGAATTTCCAATTCCAGCCTCTATGTTTGGGAAGGGTCAGTAGCCTCACACCGTAATTTACTTTCACGCGTTCAAAACTTTCTGCGAAGAATAAAATTTGATGTTGACAAGCGAATATCAATTGTGTTGATCATTCAAAGTTTGAATAACTTTCACTGTCTCAACAACTTTCCGCCATTCAATTGATTTTTTTCACGGTTGGTTTTGAAATTTGTTTTAGAGATTTATCACTCTGTTGAAGAATCAAACTAATTTAGAGTAACCCTGAATGGTTTGTTATGCAACCCGAAAAGACCTTTGAGATTTCGGCCAGTTAAAATTGGTTAGGTACATCCATTGACAAAACGAGACGTCTCTTATGTAACAAGAGATAAGGAAATGGTTTACTAAGGTCTATCGGGGCCCAGTTCTCAGTTGTGGGTATTTTGGTTCGGTGGAGAGGATAACGGGCGATACGAAACACATAGGGAGTGAGCTTAAGATCTGTCAAAAAACAATATACTTGGTTCTAAAAGTTTCCAATTAAAAATATGCTAGTTTCTGTATAAGGACCTTTTGTTCTGATGAATTTCCGTAATATACTTAAGGAAGGGAAGTAAATTTTGGCGAGGCCGGCATGGTGATTGATAAGCTAAAAGCATCGAAAGATTTTGATGGGAGGGAAAAACAGTTAGCCCCTTCATTTGATTTTGATGTCATCTGTGTACGAAGAAACCATTTGCGAAACTTGAACCATAAATGGTTTAGTTAATTTGAAATACGTTTGAATCTTCTTTTTTACCAAAGCAGTGAACACGGCTGTAAGAAAATATATAAACACAAGCGCGTTTGTGTTCAATTATTTCTAACTTCCAGTGTTAACACTCGTATGCAACAACAGCCTGTCTCTAATTTGCTTTCATCTGTCGCTGAATCCAAAGAGATTCAAACGCCCCTAATTGAACAATTGAGGACCGTTGAGAAAATAACTATATATTTTATGCAGAACCTTAGACTTCAACAAACTGGAGACCATTCCGTCTGATCTATTCAAACGCCACAAGTTATATGATCTGTAAGTATTTTGCTCTGAAGCTTAATAAAGTTGACTGTCGCTGACTTAGTCAGATTATTCTTCCTATATTTTCCTTTTATTCATAGTCTCACCTTTTCATCTTTTGTGAACATGTAAATGTATGCTAACTACCAAATGAACTTGTCAAACAGCAAGTACTTGTGTGAATCATTGAACGAATTCTTCAATCGCCAGATTAACTAAATCCTGCGAGGCGGATTCCTAGGGCCTGTCATTAGAAACACAAGAGTAGATGTACTTGGTCTGCTAGACTCAACTACAAAAAGAGCTGTTCAAGCAGTCAATGAGTCCATGCACATTTGTAAGGCATTTTTTCCCACAGGAGTGGCAAGTTTATAGTACAAGCCTCAGGCAAATAGTTACGCATCTCGCAAGTTCTAGTCAGCCGTGAGAAGGAAAGTCTTTTCAAATGCTAATGAATATTCAACTTTAATACGTTTGACAGGTGGCTTGGGAACAACAACTTAAAAAACTTATCTGAAGACCTATTTACTGGGCAAGATCAGCTAAAATATTTGTGAGTACTAATGATTTGGCATCTTTTTAACAAAATATTTGTCAAGTTATTTGCTCTACTTTGTCTCTGACGGAATAGCCTGTTAGCGGCGTAAAAATGATTTCATTTATTCACATACAAACATGACAAGCACTAAAATAGTGAAAAACATACACAGTTCGATAATTTGAAAGGCACAATACCACTATAACCGACCGCGAAATATAAACAAATGGAGAACAACGCTCTTTCGGGAGAATATTTGACACTTTCATTCTTTAACGCGTACGATATGATAATAGTGTGTAAAGACAAGAAATTGCAACAATATTCAGAGACTAAAGGTGAAGGATATAAGGAAAAGTTTGCGCTCTAATTCAGACTTTGTGTTAAAAGTACACCAGAAAATGACACCAAAAATGGGGATAGTGTTGATGATGGTGGCGATTTTAAATACGATTAGATAATTAGAAAAATCTCTTCGCTCGGCCGGTCTACACACCTTCGTAAGCTTTCCGAACTATATCTTGGTCAGAATTACGACTACCTTGTCGTATCAACTCGGAAACGTCCTCACATTGTGCTGAAGGGTACCAAATACAACTGATGGACTCAACTTAGTGAAAGGAACGTGAAAAGACCAGGAAGTAAAATCTATGATGGAAAGACTTACGTGAAAGCCAGAGTTTTGCGGTCGATGAAAAAGACGCCGTTCAGAGTTGTAGTAGAGTTCACACCTTGACGTGAAATTTTCGATCCCGTTTAGGAGAGCATGCAATACTGAGTTTTGAATAGTTCTTAAATGGAAAGGCGGTAGAAGGGTGAAGCAAAAAGAAAAAAAAACTGTTTTAAATTAAAACCGATGACATCAGACTCGATCTCATTCTCTACTTGGTGGTTTAGCTAAATAAGTAGTTAATGACGGCTGGTAATTTCCGAGCGAGAGCGAGTCAAATAAAGAGTTGTTTTCAGACTATTGTCAAAGGCTTAGCGCATTCAAACCAAAAGGCTAAAAAAAAAAAAAACTTGACTAGTGATGAGTGACAAACTGATCCTCACAGGATTTAAGCAATTGTAGAGAGTAATGCCCTGTCTAACACAGAATTCTATTTTTCAGTCTTGGCTTTCTGCTTTTTTTTATGTGAGGATCAAGTGATACTCCATTACCGATTTGTTACCCTGAAACTCACCCTTAGTGTATCTTTTGTAAATTTAGACCTTTTTTATCGTTTTCGTAATGTAGGCGGTTGAGTGGCAATCGGCTGGAAAAGCTGCCTCCAAAACTTCTTCAAGGATTGTCCGCCTTGGAGGAACTGTAAGTACAAATTTTGCGACATTTCTTCCCGAAAATTTTAGTCAATGAGGACATCTCTTTCTTGTGCATTGCGTTTCTATCAGATCCATTGCTTTCAAGTCGTTCAAAACATGGTTTTGAAACCTTTCCCTCTCAATTGAATCAGTCGATTATGGAGTTTGATCCGTTGTGCCTTTGTGTAGAAGTAGTTCAAAAAGGGATTGTTCAAATTTATATGAAATTGGTACCTGGTGTTTCGACAACATTAATGAAGGAAGTGATTATACTCCATTGCAGAGTTGTTTATCAGTCGAACGTTCTACTGGGTCACTGGGCGTGAATGGGAATGCAGAGCTCTTCTGATGACGGGTTTTGTGGGGTGGTGGTGAGGGGTCGGGGGGGGGGAGGGAAGAGGAAGAGGGGGAGATTAAATCCCCGCAAGTTAAAAAAAAAAGAAGAAACATTTCGAGCCGTCGATTTTTACCTCTTCCCTCTTTCTCATTAACAAATGGATTCCATTTTGTTGTGCATCTGTTCAACAAGACGTCACAGATGCTGCAAGAACAAAAGAGAAGCACAAGAAGCGCAACAGTTTCAAACCCTTTACTTTAGGAGAACCGTAGCCTTTTTTTTTTTTTTTTTTTTTTTGTGGGTCACGTGACATTGGGCGTGTCATATTGACGTCATTAACAGACTTCAATAACTTTCCAAAGTTAGCTAAGTATCAGCAAAATATTGTCGAATTATAGCCAACTGAATTCACCCGAGCAACTGCCTGAAATGGCCATTAAAGTGATCATTACTATTATTTCACAATTGCGCCGCCCGTATTAGGGCAACGGAACAATCGAAATATGTCAAGTGTTACACAGGGAAAATACGGAGGAAAGCGGAGTAAAAAAATGGCCACACTGAACGATCCACACCTTGACTTTTTAAGCGCTCCAGAATTTGTAATTTGTTCACTGTAACACTCTGACGATTTCTCTCGTGTTGTATTTGTCTAACGCTCAGGCCTTATGCGATCGATACCAGGCTCAGATGAGGCCGAAGGATGTATTTCGAAAACTAGAAACCAAAATATTAGAAATTAAAACAATAGTGGAATGATAAATCCCTTATTCGATGTTTAACACATAATACGATCGAACATTTTGCTTATTGCTTGCATTTTCTTCGCCCTCGCGGAACTCGGAAAATAGTACTACGAAACTCGCAACACCCGCCCGTATCGTAATTATGTTTAATTATCGAATAGGGCGGATTTGTTTACTAAAAGTAAAAGCGAAGAAAAATTGGATCGCAAAATTTTATTATTTTTCCAGAGGAATTCTTTAAGTTAGAAATTACGGGGTGGAAGTAAGAGATAGACACTTACGTGAAGACCTATTCACAAGTTTAAGCCAATACATTTCACTTAAAAATAGGTTTCTTTTT